AAGAATGTATCTGGTCATTCAGTGGAATGAAACATTGCTTTATTAAATTCAAAAGGAAAGTAAGGAATACAATTTTATATAAAATGTATTGCAATATATTTTAATTCTGTGAAAATATAACTTTTTGCCTGAGTTCTCTAACTGACCCTGACCACATGGAATCCAGAGCATTTTAGTCTTTTTTTATGGTTGCTAGGCAACAAGCTAGATTGACATGTGTTCTTTGGGCGTGGACATGTGTTCTTTGTGGGCGTGGACTATGATGTCATCGTCAGTTTTAGAATGTCTGTGGTTATTTTCTGCTCAGACCATTTCAACTGACTTGCTTCAAGGTGCTACGTGTCATTTGAGGCTGCAGTTTCTGGAGGTAACACACCAGTTCTATTTAGCTAACATTTCTTTCAAACAATACAGAATTATTACTGTTGTGTTTGGCAAGTCATCAGAATTGCTGTTTAAACAAACTAAAGTGTTACAAGAAATTTATTTGCAAACAAACTCATTGATTTAAAGATGGAAGGAAAAAGTGAATCAAATCTTGAAGTTGTGGCATTTTATGACCAGTTTAGAGTGGATACTCTTAATATTTTCAATGAATTGACTGAACAGGAGTGGATTTGTTTGCATTCGGGCAGAATTCATTGTGAAACACAAAAGCGGATTTCTGAGATGATAAATAAATATGTTCCCCATGTAATTGAACTGATTTTGAAAAATTTTAATCAGGGGAAAGATGGAAGCCAGCAATTAAGGTATGTAAGCTCAAATGTTCTGGACAAGTATTTGATCTCTGAGGCGTTTACAAGAGTAATGAATTATCTCTCAACACGATCAGACTTAAGTGAAAGGCTGGAAGGAAATGACTTCAAACAAAGAATTAGGCAGTTTTTGGAACAGTGCCTTGGAGAAGTTGATCCCATAGAGCTGAAGTGTGGGACAAAATTAGCAAAAGAAAATGACATATCAGGACACATCAAAGATGAGTCTGAACAGGAAGGGAAAGATGCAGAAAAGGAAGAGTTTGCTGTACCTAAAAAATCTAAGGGTGCCAGATCCAAGTATCATATCAGTAAGCTTTGCAAAGGTAAATGTTTTGGAGAGGATTCACAGTCTTCATCAGATGTGACAGACGTCTCTGTCACTGAGAAACACTCTACAATACAGAACAATGTTGCTGGCATAGGAACCATGTTGCTGGCAACTTTGGGAAAGCAAAGTTATTCCTCTGAAGACTCAAAACACCAGCAAACAGAAACTGAACCACAGCATCCAAGTGTATTGATTGATCTTGAAGTTCAACGGCTCTACGAAAAATATCAGAGGGAGCTAAATGTTAGTGAGGAAGATGACGATTCTGAAGAGGAAGATATTTATGCAATCTTTGATGAGAAGGAGCTACCAGAAAAGGAAACCTTTCCTGCAGTTGCTGCATGTAAACGCTTTTTCACAAACCTGTTTAAAGGTAAATATTCCTCCAAGGTTTCACCAGCAGTATCAGACGTGATAGACGTCTCTGAGAATAACTCAACAGAAAATGTTGCTGGCATGTCATCTCAGGAAAAGCTGCAGATTTCATCCCTTCAGGACTCAAAAAGACAGCAGGAACCAGGAGAAGATGGCCCTGAAACAAAGAAAGAGCCTCCGAGTACATTCACTGATGATGAAATTAGAATGCTCCACAAAAAATATTCAAAGATTGGTAGCAAACTTAGTGATGTGGAGGGTGAATTTCTATTAACTGCATATAAAAGTGCCAAACTTAAACTAGCTAAATGTGCAAAGTTTAGACCATCGGTATCAGAAGTGACAGAAGTGACAGAAAGTGAGGACAACTCGTCAGAAACGTCTGAGGACATTTGCTCCTCTGAGCACTCGGTTACCCAACAGAAATCATCTGGGGAAAAGGATACACAACTCAAAAGTGCTGTGAAAATCTTTGATGAGAAGGAGCTACCAGAAAAGGAAACCTTTCCTGCAGTTGCTGCATGTAAACGCTTTTTCACAAACCTGTTTAAAGGTAAATATTCCTCGAAGGTTTCACCATCGGTATCAGACGTCTCTGAGAATAACTCAACAGAGCATCCGAGAACATTGACTGTTGATGAAATTAGAATGCTCAACCAAAAATATTACAAGATTGGTACCAAACTTAGTGATGTGGAGTATGAATTTTTAGTAGCTAGATATAAAAGTGCCAAACTCAAACTAGCTAACTGTGCAAAGTTTAGCCCATCGGTATCAGACGTGCCAGAAGTGACAGAAAGTGAGGACAACTCGTCAGAAACGTCTGAGGACATTTGCTCCTCTGAGCACTCGGTTACCCAACAGAAATCAGCCGGGGAAAAGGATACACAACTCAAAAGTGCTGTGAAAATGCTTGTCAGGAATATTGTTTCTAAAAGCATCAGAGAATCAGGAATGATCTGCAGTCAGAAGGTATTTGAATACATAGAGGAACGGTTGTTTTGTAAATTGTGGTCAGAAATTGATTCAGCGCTGTTAGATGTGGACCCAGAAAAGATAGCAAACTGTGACACTGAGATTTTAATAGAGCTTAATCAATTATTTAACCGCCAATGCAGTTTACTGGATTATTTGTATTTAGATAAAGAACCAAGCCTTTATCTAGAAATTGTTGTGTCTTGTGCCAAAAAACACTTGAGGAAGCTTAGTGACTCTACCGAGTGAAGTTATACATAGATTTTTTTTAAATACACACAACAGATATAGATATATTTTTCTTTCCCTCCCTCTTCTGTCCTATTCCCTTTCTATTATTTTATTACTCTGACCATCTGTCCATCCACCCACCCATTACATCCATCATCCATCTAACTGGTTTTCTCCAGGTACTCTGGTTTTCCTATAAAAAAAAAAACATTAATCTAATTGGGTATTCTAAATATTCATCCTCAATGGGACGGTAACTTTAAAAGCAACAAGAACCGTTCTTTTTATACCTGCTAATGGAAACCTATGTGTTTGCACCTTGAAGCTTTCTCTCTCTGGTTCTTTTTCCTGAAAAGAGATCACTCTGGACACACTCCCTTTCTATCATTTTATCCATCCATCCATCCATCCATCCATCCATCCATCCATCCATCCATCCATCCATCCATCCATCCATCCATCCATCCATCCATCCATCCATCCATCCATCCATCCATCCATCCATCCTCTTCTGTTTCCGGTGATTGTAGGTGGTGGAATTTGACGGATGCTGGGAACTTCCGTTGCTATCAGGCCTATCTAATGTTGTGTGATGTTATGTCTCATGTTATTCATTAATGGCAGTAAAACTTTTCAAACATTAAGTATGACTAGTCTTTTTTTAGCTATGGATGTCAGACATTATTATGGATGGCAATGTTTATTTTGCTACTAAATATATGCAAGCAAGAGTAAATCCCAACAAATACACTGTACACTAGTGTGTAATCTACAGAACACTCAGTCATGCTGTGTAGGCCTAGTGTACATTTTCTGGCTATTTTTACTCTTTCATTTCTGATATCCCTCAATATACAAGATCAGAATTTTTTTATTAAATGAGCCCATTTAATTTGCAGTTTCTTCTTTCTTTGAACTATATGCATTGCCATGGTTGTCTGAATATTTTAGTGTTTGTTTTAAAAATGTAAGGAATAGAAAGTACAGGTACTTGTGTGAAAATGTAATGAGTAGAAGTCAGAAGTAGGAAGAACAATAAGTAATGGAGTGGTGTATAGTTACGTGAAAAGTGTACTTAAGTACAGTAATGAAGTATTGGTACTTCGTTACTTGACATCACTGATTACTTCCACAAATATGGAGGACCAGCTGTACTATATCTAAAAATATATACATAAATAAATAGGCATACAATTAATTGCCCCCAAAAATACAACAAACAAATAAATGTATGTAGGTCTATATATCTCTCTCTATATATAAATACTTATTCTTTTAAGTATTTATTTATTTGCCTGTTATAATATTTTTGTATTTTTGTTCTTTGTGGGCGTGGACATGTGTTCTTTGGGCGTGGACATGTGTTCTTTGTGGGCGTGGACTATGATGTCATCGTCAGTTTTAGAATGTCTGTGGTTATTTTCTGCTCAGACCATTTCAACTGACTTGCTTCAAGGTGCTACGTGTCATTTGAGGCTGCAGTTTCTGGAGGTAACACACCAGTTCTATTTAGCTAACATTTCTTTCAAACAATACAGAATTATTACTGTTGTGTTTGGCAAGTCATCAGAATTGCTATTTAAACAAACTAAAGTGTTACAAGAAATTTATTTGCAAACAAACTCATTGATTTAAAGATGGAAGGAAAAAGTGAATCAAATCTTGAAGTTGTGGCATTTTATGACCAGTTTAGAGTGGATACTCTTAATATTTTCAATGAATTGACTGAACAGGAGTGGATTTGTTTGCATTCGGGCAGAATTCATTGTGAAACACAAAAGCGGATTTCTGAGATGATAAATAAATATGTTCCCCATGTAATTGAACTGATTTTGAAAAATTTTAATCAGGGGAAAGATGGAAGCCAGCAATTAAGGTATGTAAGCTCAAATGTTCTGGACAAGTATTTGATCTCTGAGGCGTTTACAAGAGTAATGAATTATCTCTCAACACGATCAGACTTAAGTGAAAGGCTGGAAGGAAATGACTTCAAACAAAGAATTAGGCAGTTTTTGGAACAGTGCCTTGGAGAAGTTGATCCCATAGAGCTGAAGTGTGGGACAAAATTAGCAAAAGAAAATGACATATCAGGACACATCAAAGATGAGTCTGAACAGGAAGGGAAAGATGCAGAAAAGGAAGAGTTTGCTGTACCTAAAAAATCTAAGGGTGCCAGATCCAAGTATTATATCAGTAAGCTTTGCAAAGGTAAATGTTTTGGAGAGGATTCACAGTCTTCATCAGATGTGACAGACGTCTCTGTCACTGAGAAACACTCTACAATACAGAACAATGTTGCTGGCATAGGAACCATGTTGCTGGCAACTTTGGGAAAGCAAAGTTATTCCTCTGAAGACTCAAAACACCAGCAAACAGAAACTGAACCACAGCATCCAAGTGTATTGATTGATCTTGAAGTTCAACGGCTCTACGAAAAATATCAGAGGGAGCTAAATGTTAGTGAGGAAGATGACGATTCTGAAGAGGAAGATATTTATGCAATCTTTGATGAGAAGGAGCTACCAGAAAAGGAAACCTTTCCTGCAGTTGCTGCATGTAAACGCTTTTTCACAAACCTGTTTAAAGGTAAATATTCCTCCAAGGTTTCACCAGCAGTATCAGACGTGATAGACGTCTCTGAGAATAACTCAACAGAAAATGTTGCTGGCATGTCATCTCAGGAAAAGCTGCAGATTTCATCCCTTCAGGAATCAAAAAGACAGCAGGAACCAGGAGAAGATGGCCCTGAAACAAAGAAAGAGCATCCAAGTGTATTGATTGATCTTGAAGTTCAACGGCTCTACGAACAATATCAGAGCGAGCTAAATGTTAGTGAGGAAGATGACGATTCTGAAGAGGAAGATATTTATGCAATCTTTGATGAGAAGGAGCTACCAGAAAAGGAAACCTTTCCTGCAGTTGCTGCATGTAAACTCTTTTTCAGTAACCTGTTTAAAGGTAAATATTCCTCCAAGGTTTCACCAGCAGTATCTGACGTGATAGACGTCTCTGAGAATAACTCAACAGAAAATGTTGCTGGCATGTCATCTCAGGTAAAGCTGCAGATTTCATCCCTTCAGGACTCAAAAAGACAGCAGGAACCAGGAGAAGATGGCCCTGAAACAAAGAAAGAGCCTCCGAGTACATTCACTGATGATGAAATTAGAATGCTCCACAAAAAATATTCAAAGATTGGTAGCAAACTTAGTGATGTGGAGGGTGAATTTCTATTAACTGCATATAAAAGTGCCAAACTTAAACTAGCTAAATGTGCAAAGTTTAGACCATCGGTATCAGAAGTGACAGAAGTGACAGAAAGTGAGGACAACTCGTCAGAAACGTCTGAGGACATTTGCTCCTCTGAGCACTCGGTTACCCAACAGAAATCATCTGGGGAAAAGGATACACAACTCAAAAGTGCTGTGAAAATCTTTGATGAGAAGGAGCTACCAGAAAAGGAAACCTTTCCTGCAGTTGCTGCATGTAAACGCTTTTTCACAAACCTGTTTAAAGGTAAATATTCCTCGAAGGTTTCACCATCGGTATCAGACGTCTCTGAGAATAACTCAACAGAGCATCCGAGAACATTGACTGTTGATGAAATTAGAATGCTCAACCAAAAATATTACAAGATTGGTACCAAACTTAGTGATGTGGAGTATGAATTTTTAGTAGCTAGATATAAAAGTGCCAAACTCAAACTAGCTAACTGTGCAAAGTTTAGCCCATCGGTATCAGACGTGCCAGAAGTGACAGAAAGTGAGGACAACTCGTCAGAAACGTCTGAGGACATTTGCTCCTCTGAGCACTCGGTTACCCAACAGAAATCAGCCGGGGAAAAGGATACACAACTCAAAAGTGCTGTGAAAATGCTTGTCAGGAATATTGTTTCTAAAAGCATCAGAGAATCAGAAATGATCTGCAGTCAGAAGGTATTTGAATACATAGAGGAACGGTTGTTTTGTAAATTGTGGTCAGAAATTGATTCAGCGCTGTTAGATGTGGACCCAGAAAAGATAGCAAACTGTGACACTGAGATTTTAATAGAGCTTAATCAATTATTTAACCGCCAATGCAGTTTACTGGATTATTTGTATTTAGATAAAGAACCAAGCCTTTATCTAGAAATTGTTGTGTCTTGTGCCAAAAAACACTTGAGGAAGCTTAGTGACTCTACCGAGTGAAGTTATACATAGATTTTTTTTAAATACACACAACAGATATAGATATATTTTTCTTTCCCTCCCTCTTCTGTCCTATTCCCTTTCTATTATTTTATTACTCTGACCATCTGTCCATCCACCCACCCATTACATCCATCATCCATCTAACTGGTTTTCTCCAGGTACTCTGGTTTTCCTATAAAAAAAAAACATTAATCTAATTGGGTATTCTAAATATTCATCCTCAATGGGACGGTAACTTTAAAAGCAACAAGAACCTTTCTTTTTATACCTGCTAATGGAAACCTATGTGTTTGCACCTTGAAGCTTTCTCTCTGGTTCTTTTTCCTGAAAAGAGATCACTCTGGACACACTCCCTTTCTATCATTTTATCCATCCATCCATCCATCCATCCATCCATCCATCCATCCATCCATCCATCCATCCATCCATCCATCCATCCATCCATCCATCCATCCATCCATCCATCCATCCATCCATCCATCCTTTTCTGTTTCCGGTGATTGTAGGTGGTGGAATTTGACGGATGCTGGGAACTTCCGTTGCTATCAGGCCTATCTAATGTTGTGTGATGTTATGTCTCATGTTATTCATTAATGGCAGTAAAACTTTTCAAACATTAAGTATGACTAGTCTTTTTTTAGCAATGGATGTCAGACATTATTATGGATGGCAATTTTTATTTTGCTACTAAATATATGCAAGCAAGAGTAAATCCCAACAAATACACTGTACACTAGTGTGTAATCTACAGAACACTCAGTCATGCTGTGTAGGCCTAGTGTACATTTTCTGGCTATTTTTACTCTTTCATTTCTGATATCCCTCAATATACAAGATCAGAATTTTTTATTAAATGAGCCCCTTTAATTTGCAGTTTCTTATTTCTTTGAACTATATGCATTGCCATGGTTGTCTGAATATTTTAGTGTTTGTTTTAAAAATGTAAGGAATAGAAAGTACAGGTACTTGTGTGAAAATGTAATGAGTAGAAGTCAGAAGAAGGAAGAAAAATAAGTAATGGAGTAGTGTATAGTTACCTGAAAAGTGTACTTAAGTTCAATAACAATGTACAGTATTTGTACTTCATTACTTGACACCGCTGATTACCGCCACAAATATGAAGGACCAGCTCTACCATATTTAAAAATACATACATAAATAAATAAGCATACAATTAATTGCCCCCAAAAGTACAAAAAAAACAAATAAATGTAGGTAGGCCCATATATCTCTCTATATATGCATACGTATATATACATACGTATATATATCTATATAGATATATATATATATTAGGGATGGAACGGTTTATGAAAACCGTCCGAACCGTTCGGTTCGACTTTCTCCTAAACTAGTGTATAGGATTTCCTAAAAGCGCGCGCCTGCGAGTTCACGACGCTACGGAAACCGCGGCAGACCAAACCAGACGAAAGTGAATGAATCGTATTCATTGATTATTTCAATAATCGTCAACTAGTTTAGTGAGTGATTCATCATTAACTGTAGAATAGAGACTCTAAAACATAATATAAATGTAAAATATGCCTTTCTCCGACAGAGCAACCCACTTAGATCAGTAATTATACCAAAATTTTTAAATACAACATATATATATAATATATAAGATTAAAAAAAAATTTTTGTCTGTCAATATTTTCCATCCAGAACTCATCAAGAGGAAATATTTTAGTATCACCTGGTTTATTTAGACATCACCTGAAGCACTGAAGGGCAGCTGCTTCACCTACAAGCTGCCCTGCATCATTATTACTGGATATCTGTGTTTCCTATAATCATATAATGTATAAGTGCATTTTTAATAGTAAAGGATTTAATGTAACGCAACCTTTTATCATTGTCCTATATTGCTTACTGTCTGACTGTTTAAATAGCTCCTTATGTCTATTTTCTTTTTCAGTGGCATCATCTACAAACACAACACTAAGAATGAGCCTAAGTGTATTCAAATATAAAATCACTTTTAACAATTATAAAAGACAATATAACACTATCTTATCTGTAATTTAATAATATCAAAAATAAACAGCCATATTCAAGCATGTTTACCAGACATTAATGTTTATACTAATTTACTTATAGACTGTGTGGAAATCTATGTAAGATAAAATCAATGTTAATATTCTTCCTCTGTTTGTTCTTGTCTTTATCCTATTTCTAGAAGTATAAATAGTCAATTAAATTATTATTATTATATGGAACCCTAATTATGCTTTTTAAACGATAAACAGCAGATGTTTAGGCACCATTTCTTGTTGTTATAGGCTACTCTATAAAATAAATAACACCTGCTAATAATTATACCTGAACTTCCTCAAAGAGTCATCAAAAAATGAAAACAGTAACAGCAACTAAATATCGGTAAAAAGGAAACCCTCACATTTTCTTTTTTAGGTGGCTGTGGCTAAGAATCAGAAATGTTGATGGCTTACAGCCTTTATTTGCCCATTTTTCCAGCAGTCTTCAGAAATCCTGGCTGACTCAGAATATTCCGTTTTATAAAAGAAAAAAAAAAGGGCTTTGTTTTTTAGTGTACATGATATTAATTTTTTTTTTTATTGGGACTAGTTTTGTAGCCTAATATCTATTGTAGTAACCGCAGCATTCTAGTGTTCATACATTTTCAATGTTGTGCCCCAAGCACACGCGGACTAGAAAACAGCCAATCAGAGGGACAGAAGGTGGAACCTAAGGCAGAACAACCAATGAGGGTGGAGTTAAACAGCGCAGCACAGTTCCATGCGCTGCTACATGAAAGGGACAGGAGAGACCAAGCAGAGGAGCTGCGAGAGGAAAAGAAGCCACTGCTGCAATAACTACTGCTGTAAATTATAAACATGTTGCTCACATCCAATTATTGGTAGGGACAATTAGGTCGGTTCAAAATTTTGGTAGGGACATGTCCCTATGGTCCCTATGCAAACCTACGCCCATGATTTTGGGATCCTACTGCTTCATCTGATCCTTCACTTGACCCTTCGTCTGACCCTTTGTCCTGTGAGCAGGGAGCTTCCCCCTTTGCTGTTGGTTCAGGACGTTGGTGTTTGCTTTCTTATTCTCCTCTTCTGCCTTTCTTGCCCTTTCTACAGTTTCTAAAAGCAGTTCTTCGGCTTTCAGACGCAGTTCTGTTTCTAATTGTGACAGTCTCTGATACAGTAATGCTAGTTGACCAAACACATGTTTGCGATCAGCATTTCTTTTCCTGGCTTCCTAGTTAACTCCATAAGTCTCTGAATCTCTCTCTCACAAGCCTCTAGATCGAGACTATTAAGGGCTCTGTGTTTGTCTTCTGACAACAAAATCACTGAGCTTATTAGGTTCTGGGCTTCCATTTAGATGGAAGCCGCAGAAGCTCCCACTGCTATCTGATCCTGATCTCTATCCATTCTATTCACTAGGGGGGAACAAAGCAGGAAATGTTGCATACCGGCGTTAACCCTGTTAGCACTACACGTACTAAACAAACACACTCTGTTTACTGTAGGTCGGTTACCTATACGGCAGGTGTATAAACGTGTGGATAAAATGACGCGCAGGTTGCTTTCTACGTGTGACTTCCTCTTTAATTTGACAGGTTGCCAATGGCATTTAAATCTGTAGGTTTCTAATGTTTTGAATCACTCACTTTTCAGTAAGTAAAGTTGCCTGTGTGTAATGACGTGCATATATATATGTGTACCTGCAGTGTTAAGTTTACCACTCTCCAATTTTTAAAACACTGTCCACAGCACAAAAAGCAACAGTGAAGCAGCATAAAAGAAAACAAGTCACCCTTTTACACCAATCAGCTGCAATTTCGTAAAGCAACCACCAGGGGGAGGCAGGGTGCCTTCACCTGGGA